AGCCTTTACCACCTTTACCACGGCCAGTCATTTTTTCACTTTAGTTTATTTCACTTATAACTTCATGATAGCACAAGCACTAATGTTGTCTCCGGATTCATTTTTTTCATTTCATCTTTATTTCCCAAAAATTCATTACAGAGTTTTAAATATTACTCAAGTACTATCTTAAATTAAACTTACTCTAACACAAATACTACTTGTTTTTCTAGAGATTTATATTTTTTATTTTAATTAAATTAGGCAAGGCCAGCCAACCTTTAAGTATTTAATATTTTAAGTTACCTCGAAAAAAGGGAATAAAAACGAGGTTATCAATTAGATTATACTACTTACAACTAATGGGCTTAATACTAAATAACAAACAAAACAATAACAAACAAAGCAAAACAATATAATTCATGTTTAAATTATTATTATTTTTTTGTTTTTTTTTTTTTAGTTTTAATGCTTTTCAGTTTATTTGATGTATTTCACATGTAAAGGGTACATTTTGCAGATTTAGTGAACAATTTTTTTTTTCATTGGTCAAGAGAATAAATAGTGTTGTGAAAATTGTATGATCCATATCTTCTATGGCAAAATTCAATTTTGACCTCATTTTAAAAAAATTTTGCCATCATTGTATAGTGTTAGAAGGCTCATAGGTGGTAGGTACCCACCGTTTGCCATGATGGTGTTCAGCTCATTGCTTCTTACTCTACAGTTTAATATTTGTTCATTATTATGGATTGTGCACTTTTCCAGGTATTTTAACGCTATATAGACCATATCAATCCTATCATTTCTGTCAGTTTTACTTTTTTCATAAGGTAATAAGTTTTTAGGACTTCTTAGTCTACCAAATTCATCTATTGTTGTTCTAAGTCCAAGGCAGTGTTTAAACATTTTCCTCTCTAGTATTCTTATTCTTTCCATTTGATGTGCCGATATTGTGAACCGAATGGGGAATGCATATGACATAGCTGGTCTTACAAGTTGTTTGTACAAAATAAGCTTTACATTCTGCGATAGACTATCTCTTTTACCTATCATACTTCGCAGTTTGGCATATACGGCCTTTCCTTTGTTGAGTACATAATCAACATGTCTTGTGAATTGCATATCTGATTGAAGTATTACACCAAGATTTTTTATTACGTTAGTATTGTGAATAACACTATTCCCTATTTTAACTGCAGGAATAAATTGTTGTTTTTCTATTGTTTGAGGAGAATGAGTTATCATTAGAAAACATTTTTGCTAAAAGGTCAGTTTGCCCTTACTAGAAACAATTTCCTCTCCTAGCTCATTATGAGGCAGTCAATTTTTGTCTTTGGGCCTAATCCACAAAAAGCTTTTGTTTGTTTGAACATGTTTTCATTAGCTGCTATGCTGTTTAGATATCTGGTATAATACTGTTTTTCAAAACGAGAAATTTGTTGTTTAATTAGCCTATCCAAAATTTTGATTTGTGATTCTAATGATGTATATTCATTAGAATTAACAATTCTATTTCTTCTTCTTCTTAAATTCTTCTTCTGCGCCAATAAATTAAGAATTTCAGGTGGAAGGTCTGGGAGGAGATTTTTTTTCTATAATGTTGTTTAATATTATTATTCATAGCCGTGTTAAAAGCAACAGTCATATTTTCAATAGTGGAATCTATTTCACTGACTGTTGCATTTCTGTCCTAAGGAAGGCATATTTGTGCTAAATTTGCTCCTAATTCATTATTGAATCGACGAATATTCATGCTGTTGAAGTCAAATACATTCTCCGGTTCTTCATTGTCTATATTACTTAATAATATATCAAGAAAAACAGCTCTATGATCCGAGTTACAATCACCCGTCTCAAGCCCAGTAATCGCCCTTCGCGGATTCACCAGACTTATCTGATTCGTTATCAAGAAAACATCTATAAAAGAATCCGTCGTCGGTGTCACCCTGCTTGGGACTTCTGTTTTTAAAATATCTATATTAGTTGTAGAAAGAACCCAGTCATTTAATATTCGACCATTAGCATTTGTCTGGTGGCCTCCCCAAAGCGGGTGTTTTGCATTTAGGTCAGCACCAACTATTGCTTCGTTAGGTCCTATTATGCTAGTTAATTTATCTAGATCTTGTTTTGACAATGTTTCTTGGGGTCTGAGGTAAAGCGAAGATAAAAATATCGTTTGACCGCCTAGGTTTCCAATTTTAACTAGCGTTGCCTCAATACTACCTAAATTAGCATCTATTCTATTACATTTAAATTGCTCTCTTATTGCAATAGCCGTTCCTCCTCCTAACTTGTCCTTTCTATGTTGTGTAAAAATTTTGTAACCTTTTAGGTTAAAACTGTGATTTTTGCTAAGCTTATGTTCTGCGATCAGTACTATATCAGGATTTTTCTCACTAATGAATAAATTAAAATAATGTCTTTTTTGTCTTGAAATTAGAGAATTTATACTAATAAATATTATTTTAAATTTATTCATTAAGTTTCAACGTTAAAAATAAGCCAAAAAATGGCCTCCGATTTTTCTTGGCCAGTTTTCAGTTCCTTATAACTTACTGCAAAGTCGCTGATTTTTTCCATACATGTTATAAAATTTTTGCCTAAAAGCCTTTGACAGTCATTATCAAAGGCTCCCATGGCCTGTTTAATAAGAAGGGTAGTTTGCCCATTTTTATTGTCAATAGCACTTTTTGTTGAGGGAATTTTAATAGCATTTGCATATGATAGATTGCTAGAAAATTTAGGGTAAGTAATATTTGGCTTATTAGCTACATAGTTATTTGTGTTGGCTTTTGCAGCCGCTTTTTATTGGGCATTTTTTGTAACTTGCCACATGTCCTATAGTTTTGCAATTAACGCATTTAACCGGGATTCCCTTCGTCTTAATTATTTGACCTGTATTTGGGTCAGTTGTTATTGTTTCCTCAGTGTTTCGGTCTTTGGGCGGAATGTGACATTTTCCACGTTCATGTTGACCAGCACATTTTACACAATTTGGAACCATCCTACAATTGATAGAGATATGGCCATGTCTTTGGCAATTTTTACATTGTGGAAGATCCACACTCTTATATTTCTCAATGCTAACGCCATTATTTAGAATGAATCTAAGTCTGGAAAAGGATTTTATGTAAGAATCATTGGAAAATTGCACAATCCATTTACTTCTTTGTAGTTTGATTATTTTAAAAAATTTTAAATTTATTCCTGTGTCCTCAATAAAAATTTTAAGATCAGTCTCATCATATGTGTCTGAGACTCCCTTAATAATCAGTGTGTGAGGCTTCTCTTCTTTGATAGTGTAAGTAAAAAAAAGAAATTTTCATATTTTCTAGATATTCTCTGACTTTCAGATGATCTTCATTTTTACTCAATTTAGGATGTATTAAGTTCATATTTATAATGTTAATCGTAAACAAATTGTGATTTAGCAAGTTTTTTAATTTGATTGTAAAGTCTTTAATATTAACATTATAGATTTTAATAATAGGGGGGCTGGCCTTGCCTTTTGGTTTAGTTGTTGTTGTAATTGCCGTCTTTCCGCTGTTATTTTGCATGTCCAGTTGCTGGGGGGTCCCTTGGCTGCTACTATTTACCGCCGGCATTGCAGTTATGTCATCTTCACAATCATACTCATCAGCTACCATGAGGTCTACGGCTGCCTCAGTGGTACAATTGTTGTCGTTGTTATTTATATTTGTCCATTCTTTGGGTATATGGACATCCACGTTAACACTGCTTGTGGCAATTTTATTAGCAAGTTCTTTGATAGTTTTCTTAAATTCCTCATTTTCTTCTTTTAATTTAGCGTTTTCGTTAAGAATACTTTCATATTTTTTATTAAGTTCAATCAATTGGTCCACTATTGGCGTAGTAGGTTTGTTTTTTCTTTTGCGTTTTACTTCAATATAAACGTCAGTATTGTTATTATTACAAATTGTAGGCACACTTTGATTAGAACCACAAATGTCTATTGTCTGGCTATTGTTACCAGCAGTATTTGCCTTAACGTCATCAGCATTTAAGCTGTGACAAGACATTTTCAGTTTTTTTTTTTTTTTTTGTTTTTTTTTTTTTTATAATTCACTATAACTTTTCACTTTTTATTTCACTTCAAAGATCTTTTCACTTCGAGCTTTATGCTCATTCTACCACTGTTGTCTCCGGATGATTCCGCTCGTATTTATACAAAATTTGAGGCTCTCTCCAACTATTGAACACACAAGTAAAGTATGTACATTTATATGTGTGTGTGTAGATTTGCCGTTAGTATTTTATGTTCTCTTTTGTGTGTGCGTGTACATTTGCTATACCGATAGGTAAGAATTCACTAACATATCAACCCCGAAAGTTGATGCTAACAGCACAATTTTCCATAAATACTCGTTTTAGTGGCGATGGCAACGGGGGATTCAGTGTCGAACATTCAAAGTGGTATCATCAAGTGACAAGAAGTGAACATAAAATAAAATAAAATATTAAAGTGGAAAAGTGAAGTGATTTTGATAAAGATTACTATTGAATTTTTATTGAATTCCTGCCAATGAACAATAAGACTCATTGTGTAAAAAGTTAAGCTTTATTTTAATTAGGGCAAGGCTAATAGCCGAAGACCCACAAAATAAGACATTACTAAAATGGAAAGCAGTGAGTTTTTCTCAGATCAAAGTAGTCTAACTACTGAAGATAAACAGAAAGCTTGTGAAAAAGATAAAAAACTTCGAAAAAGAAAAAAAAGAAAAGCACAGTAGTGACAGTGACACTGAAATAGAAATTACAAAACTTAAAAGCATAATAAATGAACTTGCTAAAGACCGTGAACTATTTAAAGCTCGTGTCATTGAGCTTGAAAATGAAATAAAAATAAAGTGAGTGAGAATAATGAAATAAAAAATAATGATTGGGCTGCCGAAGCAAGCAGGGGCTTCGGTACGGCGTCTGCCAATAAATTAAAGGCTAAAACCAAAAGGAATATACGAGTAAAAATCGTGAACAATGAAGAAGAAATGCCAGAAACAATGACGGTGGATGATTGCAACAACAACACAGCGGTTATTGAAGAGGGTAGCTGCAACAATGATATACCAACAACAACTCAAACAAAAGCAAGGTAAGGTCAGCCCTCCTCCTGTTTTTAAAATATACAATGTCAATGTCAAAGAAATTACTAATAAAATTAATAGATTATTAGGGCACAATCTTTTTACTATTAAAATTGTGAATAAAAATATGATCACAATTAAACTAACTAAAAGGGAGGACCACCCTAAAGTTACAAATCTACTAATAGAACAGGGTTACAGTTTTTTCACAAATTCCCTTAAGGAAGATAAACCAATAACATTGGTAATTAAAAAACTATCAGGAAATTATGATGAAAATGACATCAAGGAATATTATAATCTTTCTGAAATGAAAGTTAATATTATTAATGTTAGAAAACTAAGCCTAAATAGTTTTGTAATACAACTTTCGAGAGACAGTGACATAAAAGCTTTTAAAAGGCAGAAATACATTTTTCAATGCGGAGTTAGCATAGAAAATTATAAAAGTGACAATAGCATCATTTGTAAGAGGTGCCAAAGAATAGGGCATATTTCAAAAAATTGTAACATGATTTACAGATGCGTTAAATGCGATAAAAACCATGAACCAAATAACTGTTCGATTCCTCCCAAGGAAGAAGACAATAAAGAAACAATTGTTAAAGACCCCATTACGGGCCAAATTAAGAAACAAATAGGACAACCTGTGTATTGCATTAATTGCAAACAATACGGTCATGTAGCAAGTTATAGAAAATGCCCAACAAGGGAAAAAATAGTCCAAAGAATGAAAGATAAAGGTAAAATGGGTGCAAAATTAATCTTAGAAAATAAGGCTCCACCACATAATCCAAATTTATCCTACTCGAATGTAACTAAAAGCAGCCAAATAACGGCTACAAAAGTACCCCAAAAAATGACACATGGCGATGCCCATGCTTTTGACATCTTTAACAATGACTGCATAAAATACATCGGAAAAGACATGTTTACAATTTTTAGAAAAATTGATGAATATGCTAAAATTAGAAACACCCTGAAAACTGACGAAAAAAATCTCAAGCTATTTTTGGATTATTGTTAAATTTACGTCTCAATGACTAAGTTAAAAATAATTTTTATAAACGTAAATTCTATTGTGTCTCGTCACAAAAGGCATTATTTGAATATTTTTTTAAATGAACATGACCCAGATATTCTTCTGTTAGCTGAGCATAAACTCACAAACAGACACACGTTTCTATTAAGAAATTACACAGTCTTTCGTCAAGATAGGGAAAGTGGTCGCGGAAGAGGAGGAGGAAATGCAATTTTAATTAAAAACTGGATTAGGGCACAACGCATTGAGGCAAATTTAGGAGAATTGGAGGGAACGATAATTGAAGTTAAAGGCCGTCCTACTAACTTAATAATAATGTCTCTATATAGAAAACCTTTAGGCAATATTGAAAGAGTGACCTCGTTAACATAGGGAATATTATTGGAAATAAAGAAGCTATAATCGAAGCAGACTTAAATGCCAAACACCCTCTATGGGGAGGTAGGGATGTAAATGTTAGTGGGAGGGTTCTTGCCGATTGGCTAAACACAACCCCTAACTTATTAATCAGACCGTCAAATAACCCAACAAGGAGTCAATTTAACTACCATTCTTACATTGACATATCTATAACCTCCACAAATATGGCGATTTCGGCACCTGATCCAATGAAATGTGTAGAAACTTTGGATTATAATTCTGATCATAAAGCAATTTTGATTAATATAAAAACAATTACTATTGTATAAAGAACAGATGAAGAGTTCTTTGATTTTAAATCATTTAACAGAAATTTATTTAACAACACTATAGATGATCAAAAGAGCAGACTCTGTCTCCCAGCCAATAGAAATGCAACAATTGATGAAATTGATGCAGAAGTTGAAACCTTAACAAATATTCTAGTTACAGCAATGAACGAAAGTATGGTAAAATATAGACCAAAATATGGAATGATGGTACAGCTTCCACAGGATATTATGTTATTGATAAAACAAAAGAAAAATCTGAGGAGAAGAAGGCATAGAATATATTACTCTAACATCTATTTTACAAAGACTGGATAAAATAATCCAAGAAAAAATCAAAATATTTGAGGAAAATTATTATGAAAGTAGACTAAACAGCATAACAAAAAATGGTGACATGTATAAAAAAGTTAAAAATTATGCTCGATTCAAAGAACCAAAATTTCCCAATTACTAAACGAACAAAATGAAATAATTCATGATAATAAAGAAAAAGCTAATCTAATAGCAGAGCAGTACTCCAAGATTCAGAGTAACTTTAATGACTCATTCCCTACTCATGTGGAGAATGAGTCTGTGGTTACATTTGGAAATGGGGTTACTGCATATGGAAACGGCGCTGAGAATGAGAATCTAAAACTTTTTAAGATTGAAGATATAAGGATCGCCATAAAGCAGCGGGGTTGACGGAATTCCGAATTTCATAATTCAAAAATCGACAGTAGATTATGGAAAAAGCTTGCCATATTATTTAATCAATGTCTTAATTTAGGGTATTTCCCAAATAAGTGGAAACACGCAATGGTAATACCTATTTTAAAGCCGGGAGAAGACCAAACTTCCCCTTGTAGTTATAGGTCAATATCTCTATTGTCAAATTCAGGCAAACTATTTGAAATTTTCATTTTGGAAAGGATTAATTTACACATTGATGAAAATAATTTGCTTAAAGATTTCCAATTTGGATTTCGTAAGAGATTGTCAACTTCACATGCTCTTCTAGCATTTTCAAATCAGATATCTAGCGGTTTCAATAAGAGAAGTGCCACCATCGCAGTAAGCCTCGATTTTGAACAAGCTTTTGACACGGTGTGGCAAAAAGGCATTATAAGTAAAATAGAAGCTAATTATAATTTCCACAGGGCTTTAGTAAGGCTCACTAGTAATTATTTAAATGGCAGAACATTTGCTGTAAATGTAGAAAAATCCCACTCCTCCACATATAATATAAAAGCCGGCGTTCCCCAAGGATCGGTACTTGGTCCGGTTTTATATAATTTGTACCTGGCAGATTTACCCCAGCCTGAAAATGAATTGCTAGTTCTGTCCTTTGCAGACGATATTCTGATAGCGGCCACTCACCCAAGAGCGAAAATTGCACAGCAAAAACTTAATGATTATCTGGTAATATTAAACGATTATTTAAAAAAATGGAAATTAAGACTTAACATAAATAAGTGTAAGTCTATTATAATTAAAGGAAAGAAAACAAGGCCTAAAATAAAAATAGATAACAATATAATTGAAAACGTGTCCGTAATCAAATATCTGGGAGTGTTCTTTGAAGAAAACTACTCATTTAATAAGCACGTTGAGTACATACTTCAAAAAGTAAAGGTAGCTTTTCAAAAATTGCATTATGTTCTAAGTTCAAAAAGAGGGCTTAGCAGGGACATAAAAATGTGTATCTATAAACAGCTATTAAGACCAATCATAACTTATGCATTCCCAATTTGGTTCAGCATATCTTCTAGTCAGATGGAAAAGATTATGGTTTTTGAACGAAAATGTTAGCATACTGCCTAAATATGAGGGCAGAAAGAACTGATGATGGAAGATTCCGATCACCATCATTAAATAATAAATATAATTAATAATAATTAATAAATAACACCAGCAAGCTAGATTGAATTGATAAATTCATGACCAAAATTGGGCTTAAATTCATAAATAGTTGCAATAATTGCAATAACTCAATCATTCTAAATGGAGTAATAAGTGAAGAATGTTCATAAGATATTTACAAAATGATGGCTATTTGTCACCTATGTGTCTAACCTACTTAGAAACACACAATTTATTATTTGATAACAATGAAAAAATAATTTTTTACAACAGAAGATATGGAACATACAATATTGAAAACCTTGTATGTAGAACTGAACAATATTATTATTAAATTATCAAAATTTTGTATATATTGTAAATAGTAGTTTTTAAGTTTTGTTTATTTATTTATTTTATTTTTATTTTTATTTTTTATGTTTAAGTTTTGCTTTATTTTATTTTTAGTTGTAAGTACTCATTATAAATGATTAACAAGTTTTCTTCCCTTTCTTGTTAATCGCAAATAATCCTATGACAAAGTCAATACTTAAAACACAAATGGGTTGACCTACCACAAATTAATACTTATATATAATATTCCTAGAAAAAGTTTAAATGCTGTTAGGAAAACCATTTATATAATTCTTAGAATTTTAAGTTCAATATTGTAACTAAATTATTTGGGAAAATAAATATGCAATATGCGATGGCAACGTTATTACAGTGTTTGTGTGCATATCTATAGTGAAGTGAAAAAATTCAAGTGAAAAATGGCTCGTACTAAGCCATAAGTAAATCGACCGGTGGAAAGGCTCCTCGTAAACAACTAGCTACCAAAGCTGCCCGTAAGAGTGCCCCAGCCACCGGCGGTGTTAAGAAGCCTCATCGTTTCCGTCCTGGTACAGTTGCTTTGCGTGAAATCCGTCGTTATCAGAAGAGTACTGAATTGTTGATCCGCAAATTGCCCTTCCAACGTTTGGTTCGTGAAATCGCTCAAGATTTCAAAACTGACTTGCGTTTCCAGAGCTCTGCTGTTATGGCCTTGCAAAAAGCCAGTGAAGCCTACTTGGTTGGTCTTTTCGAAGATACTAACTTGTGCGCCATCCATGCTAAGCGTGTCACCATCATGCCTAAGGATATCCAATTGGCCAGACGTATTCGTGGAGAACGTGCTTAAATTCTTGACGTTTTAAAAGCAACAATTTTACAACAAAACAATCGGTCCTTTTCACAAATATTTTACAAAAAAGAGATATTTTTTAATCAATCTACAATTTTTAGTATTATTTTGAAATAAATAAAAATAATTTAGGGCTTTGATTAATTTTTAAACAATTATTAACATTTTTAAAATAAAGATATTTTTTTGATGTTTGTTTTTTTTTCATGATGATTTTTCCACTCTTTACTTTTTTTATAATTTTTTGATTTCTTTGATTGATTTTAATTTTTTTCTTAATTTAATTTAAAAATTTTCAATTATCCATATTGGTATTTAATTTTAATTTGCAAAAGTAGCATCATCTTTGTACTCCCTCTTCGAAAAAAAAAAATGCTATGACTCATAAAAATAACCACCAAAAAATATTTTTAAATGTTTTAAACTCATTTTAAGAGATTTGAATATGAATTTTCTCCGTATGGAATTACAAAATTATTTTTGCCCGATGCATTTAGAAAAACTGGTAGTAATTTATTATTTTCAAAAATCGAAGAAGAAAATAATTGATTTGTTCAGAATTTTGATGTAAAATATAATTTAAAGTATTATAAAAAGAAATGCCAATAATATCTGCCCTTAAAGTTCATCGAAAAACAATTTTGTAAAACGCAATTAATTTCATGACATTTCCAAGTGTTCTAGGTGATATATGCCTGTAAAGAGGAATTTCTTTTTGGGAATATTTTTTCATAAAATTAGACAAAATAACGTAGAAAATGCCTTCTAAGACTGCTTTTAAAAAATTTTCGAACAAATTATGTTAAATTTCATAAAAAATATTGCAAAATAAAAATACGTTTGTCACTGAATGCCTGTACATTGGCAGTATGAAGTATTCTGGGGATTTTGTAACTTTTCAACGTAAATTATGACTTTTTGTGATTAATGTTAAATTTTGATGTAAATATACAAATTCTGAAATGTTTTTTAAGAAATTTTTATAAAACTTATTAAGATTTGAGCTTTCAAATTTATTTCAAGAAAAACTTTTCTTCATTGAAATTATGCCAACAAGAGGATTTCTGCTGTCATAGACCACATAATAATTTCAATTTTTTCACATAGTAAAATATAAAATTTCATCGATATTTTTCTTTCATCCTAAAGTAAACATATCAGGCTACATTTTCAAAAAGAATTTTCAATTAATTTTTCATAAAAAATTAGATTTTTTTAAATTTTAGTTGGAAATTTGTTTCAACATTTTTATAATCTGTCAAGTTAAACTTTTATAATTCACAAACGGCAAGTGATAATTACACCAAACTTTCTTTAAAACATAGCCTGAAATCTATACTTCTATCTATCTATAAAACATTTTTAGTGAAAATTATCAAAGCTTCTTCAGGAAAATTTAATTTCTCCGAAAATTTTGTAAAAAATTAAACACGCTTCCACACAATCTTTCGAAAAAATTACCAATTGACTACTATGCACATCTCATCTTTTCGATGTATAATAATAGTACACATAAATTTGTGAGTGTATTTGTGTTAACAGTGAAATATAAACCAAACAGTGAGTATAAACAACTGAAAGTGAAAACAAATTACTGAAGGCAAATATTACCTTCAGGGAGATAAAATTAGTTTTCAAACAAACTGTGCTACAAGCGGACGTTATTACATATGAACGTCTTACAGGCGGCAGATAAGTCTGCTGCCGATAAGCTGCTACTGGGCGAAAATAAATCATCCGCCACCGAGACTACAGCATTCATAAATGTTGACAACATGAATGCTGGCAACGCAGATACAACTAAACCGTTGCAGAGACAAACTACAGACGAGATTGGTGAATGGCAAGAGGTAAAATATGCCAGGCCGCAACTAAAACGGAAATGCGACTCGCCAACCAACTACTCTGAAATGAACGCAGTCATTAGACAACTGCAAGATAAGATTATCTCGCTGGAGAGTCAAAATAAAGTGCTGACAGCCGAGCTGACATTTCTAAAAAATATGCAGGCTGAATCAGCTAGGCAACTTACTGCAGCTCACTCCAAAGAAATATATGGCCATGTCTTTGGCAATTTTTACATTGTGGAAGATCCACACTCTTATATTTCTCAATGCTAACGCCATTATTTAGAATGAATCTAAGTCTGGAAAAGGATTTTATGTAAGAATCATTGGAAAATTGCACAATCCATTTACTTCTTTGTAGTTTGATTATTTTAAAAAATTTTAAATTTATTCCTGTGTCCTCAATAAAAATTTTAAGATCAGTCTCATCATATGTGTCTGAGACTCCCTTAATAATCAGTGTGTGAGGCTTCTCTTCTTTGATAGTGTAAGTAAAAAAAAGAAATTTTCATATTTTCTAGATATTCTCTGACTTTCAGATGATCTTCATTTTTACTCAATTTAGGATGTATTAAGTTCATATTTATAATGTTAATCGTAAACAAATTGTGATTTAGCAAGTTTTTTAATTTGATTGTAAAGTCTTTAATATTAACATTATAGATTTTAATAATAGGGGGGCTGGCCTTGCCTTTTGGTTTAGTTGTTGTTGTAATTGCCGTCTTTCCGCTGTTATTTTGCATGTCCAGTTGCTGGGGGGTCCCTTGGCTGCTACTATTTACCGCCGGCATTGCAGTTATGTCATCTTCACAATCATACTCATCAGCTACCATGAGGTCTACGGCTGCCTCAGTGGTACAATTGTTGTCGTTGTTATTTATATTTGTCCATTCTTTGGGTATATGGACATCCACGTTAACACTGCTTGTGGCAATTTTATTAGCAAGTTCTTTGATAGTTTTCTTAAATTCCTCATTTTCTTCTTTTAATTTAGCGTTTTCGTTAAGAATACTTTCATATTTTTTATTAAGTTCAATCAATTGGTCCACTATTGGCGTAGTAGGTTTGTTTTTTCTTTTGCGTTTTACTTCAATATAAACGTCAGTATTGTTATTATTACAAATTGTAGGCACACTTTGATTAGAACCACAAATGTCTATTGTCTGGCTATTGTTACCAGCAGTATTTGCCTTAACGTCATCAGCATTTAAGCTGTGACAAGACATTTTCAGTTTTTTTTTTTTTTTTTGTTTTTTTTTTATAATTCACTATAACTTTTCACTTTTTATTTCACTTCAAAGATCTTTTCACTTCGAGCTTTATGCTCATTCTACCACTGTTGTCTCCGGATGATTCCGCTCGTATTTATACAAAATTTGAGGCTCTCTCCAACTATTGAACACACAAGTAAAGTATGTACATTTATATGTGTGTGTGTAGATTTGCCGTTAGTATTTTATGTTCTCTTTTGTGTGTGCGTGTACATTTGCTATACCGATAGGTAAGAATTCACTAACATATCAACCCCGAAAGTTGATGCTAACAGCACAATTTTCCATAAATACTCGTTTTAGTGGCGATGGCAACGGGGGATTCAGTGTCGAACATTCAAAGTGGTATCATCAAGTGACAAGAAGTGAACATAAAATAAAATAAAATATTAAAGTGGAAAAGTGAAGTGATTTTGATAAAGATTACTATTGAATTTTTATTGAATTCCTGCCAATGAACAATAAGACTCATTGTGTAAAAAGTTAAGCTTTATTTTAATTAGGGCAAGGCTAATAGCCGAAGACCCACAAAATAAGACATTACTAAAATGGAAAGCAGTGAGTTTTTCTCAGATCAAAGTAGTCTAACTACTGAAGATAAACAGAAAGCTTGTGAAAAAGATAAAAAACTTCGAAAAAGAAAAAAAGAAAAGCACAGTAGTGACAGTGACACTGAAATAGAAATTACAAAACTTAAAAGCATAATAAATGAACTTGCTAAAGACCGTGAACTATTTAAAGCTCGTGTCATTGAGCTTGAAAATGAAATAAAAATAAAGTGAGTGAGAATAATGAAATAAAAAATAATGATAGGGCTGCCGAAGCAAGCAGGGGCTTCGGTACGGCGTCTGCCAATAAATTAAAGGCTAAAACCAAAAGGAATATACGAGTAAAATCGTGAACAATGAAGAAGAAATGCCAGAAACAATGACGGTGGATGATTGCAACAACAACACAGCGGTTATTGAAGAGGGTAGCTGCAACAATGATATACCAACAACAACTCAAACAAAAGCAAGGTAAGGTCAGCCCTCCTCCTGTTTTTAAAATATACAATGTCAATGTCAAAGAAATTACTAATAAAATTAATAGATTATTAGGGCACAATCTTTTTACTATTAAAATTGTGAATAAAAATATGATCACAATTAAACTAACTAAAAGGGAGGACCACCCTAAAGTTACAAATCTACTAATAGAACAGGGTTACAGTTTTTTTCACAAATTCCCTTAAGGAAGATAAACCAATAACATTGGTAATTAAAAAACTATCAGGAAATTATGATGAAAATGACATCAAGGAATATTATAATCTTCTGAAATGAAAGTTAATATTATTAATGTTAGAAAACTAAGCCTAAATAGTTTTGTAATACAACTTTCGAGAGACAGTGACATAAAAGCTTTTAAAAGGCAGAAATACATTTTTCAATGCGGAGTTAGCATAGAAAATTATAAAAGTGACAATAGCATCATTTGTAAGAGGTGCCAAAGAATAGGGCATATTTCAAAAAATTGTAACATGATTTACAGATGCGTTAAATGCGATAAAAACCATGAACCAAATAACTGTTCGATTCCTCCCAAGGAAGAAGACAATAAAGAAACAATTGTTAAAGACCCCATTACGGGCCAAGTTAAGAAACAAATAGGACAACCTGTGTATTGCATTAATTGCAAACAATACGGTCATGTAGCAAGTTATAGAAAATGCCCAACAAGGGAAAAAATAGTCCAAAGAATGAAAGATAAAGGTAAAATGGGTGCAAAATTAATCTTAGAAAATAAGGCTCCACCACATAATCCAAATTTATCCTACTCGAATGTAACTAAAAGCAGCCAAATAACGGCTACAAAAGTACCCCAAAAAATGACACATGGCGATGCCCATGCTTTTGACATCTTTAACAATGACTGCATAAAATACATCGGAAAAG